TTCCAATCAGATGTCATACACAATGAACTGAAGGATACTCGGCTGCCAACTTTCTATTCACGAGAGGAACTCGTTGCTTACACCAGACTAGTTCTTATTGATCCCAGATATGAAGAAGGGTATGGTTAAAATATCAAATCAAGTACAATGGTTTGCTTGTACGGTTGCTATTTACGTATCCATGTTTTTATAGGAAGCATTACCAGGTTCTTGCCGACACCAAAAAGTGATCATCAAGTGACAGAGAAGTATTCGAATTCCAGAATCTCATTCATCGTCTAGCGAAACAAAAACAAACAGGTAGTATTCTGTTAACAACATTGTGATAATTAGCGGTTTTGGGTTTGTTCTACCAAACAATTTGATTTTGACCAACTTGATCAATAAATTCAGGCGGCGTGTCCTCATAGCACAAAACAATCAGGACCAAATATACGAAACGGGCAACGACGGCGGGTCAACCCAGACAAAGGATGTACGAAATTCCCTTTTGAAAGCTTTATCAGTTTACATTTGGCGATGATGTGTACCGTAAAATCTGTGATGGCTCGAAATCATTTTGAGCGTAAACTTTTACCATAAATCATACAAAGTTAGCAGATCCATTACGCCGCCATCATTATTTGCTTCCGTTTATAGGAAAGCGTTTTTAGTATGTGGCGAGTGCGTGTCAAGCTGAATGATCTAGAGGTATTGGCATCCATGGATCATTATCCCTCGAGATGTTTTGTTAGCACAAGTGTTGGCAACCACAATTCATTCATGTTTTGGAACTGTGAAAATATTCTTACATTCTTGGTGAGACCCGGAGACCAATCGGGAGGGAACGTTCAGCCAGTGAAACAGCTCAGTGAATTCGAACCAGCAAACAGCTGATGGCCACTGACAAGCCACTGGATGCCAGCAACCATTTGGACCATCGGAGTGTGGTGACGGCTTGCGGACCATATCTACTATAGCAATTGACGAGGAAGTGTTGCTGTGATCTGCCATGTCAGGCAGACGCGCACCATGTGCGATTGGGTGGGCTGTGGAAGCAAGAATTTCATTCCTAACGGCTCTTCAAACCCACTAGTTGATAGGTGTGCACTACACATAATAAGTCCAATTTGGTCTCATAAAGTTGGGAGCATAAGGTTGACAGAAACTCGGGGACTGCGCCTACCTGATGAGCTCCAAAAATGTCCGATTATCAGCATTCTTCGTGTTGTTCGTGACTGGATTGAGAGGAACCGGTAGCTCGCGGCCGTTCGAGATGGTTCTGTTGTTAGTGTTCTAATTTACGGACTTGAAAGCCCGTGGTTCGAACCCGAACTCCGCTTCTCGACTTCCTCCTATCTAGGCTTGGGTAAACCGGCAGTAGTCCAGCCCCTTGGGTGGCATGGCAGCTGTGCGCTGAAAGGCTGTTACAGGCGTACGCGCTTTCACACGTACGTTTTGATCTCTTAAGTAGCTGCATTCTGCATTCAAGATGCTGCGTTTTGACAAATAGAGTTAGCGTTCGATCTAGGTCTATTGTTTACGGTTGAATTTCAAATGTTTCTAGGAATTTACTCACTAGTCCCAAACGGGTTTACGGGACTACTTTCCTCGCACCCTTTAGTTGATAACTTGATTTCGGGTTGATGGGACATATAGAGACAAAATGGATGAACGTTTATCATTCTCATATGGTGTTGGGTCGGCAGTCACACGGTTAAAATCGCTACAAGATGGTCACTGTACCCAACGGTGAGTGGATGCCGTTGTTTTGTAGAATCTTGAAAAACCAAACTCACTGTAATGTACTGTATTAATAATTGTTTGTTAAATTGACTTGATCATCCATGCTACACCAGTGTGAGCTTGATTATCGCCCAAATAACTATGCAGGAAAAGTAGTCATTATCGACCGGCCGTATCTGCCTGTACTCGAGTTCGCCGATCATTTTGACTCCTAAACGTTCATTTTTAATCTTGACAAGATCAACTCTGCTGTGTATTGTATGGTAAAATATGTCTAGTAGACTGGTATTCCCTTTTTTCTAAGGCGAGTATTCCAATCACTTCACACCTGACTGGAACTCTCACTCCGGCTAGAGCCCATCAGTGGCACCCATCATATTCCGTGAGCGAATTCAGAAGCACTTGCGTCCTTCATCGTTCTACTGGTGCATCAGAATGTCAGAAATTCCCAGAGTGTTTGCTACCTGACTGTCACATGTATTGACTATGTCTACAAACATACAACCGCTGATTTTTGTTACCATCCCTCACTATGTGGTTCTAACGAGATTTCACCTCAAGAAGAGATCATACACAGCCCGCACAGAATGCTGGATATTAGCCTTCTGATAACAGAATCATTCGGTTTCCGGAGCCTGATTCGTTCTGTCCAGCGCTTTTGTTGATTTGTTGTCAATCTCGAATAGAAATCCACGCAGACAGTGGCCTCAAGAAGCTGATGAGTCGGTTTTGATTTCATTCATCGAGACACCGTGATATCGATGAAGTTGGTCGATGAACTCAGATAACAGATGTTCATTACACCATGAGAATACTTATAAAACACGCAACAAGAGCTGGTCGTGTTAGGTTGACGCACGTCGAATTAGTGGAGGTCAAGTGAAAGTGAAACCCACCCGTCGGCCCCATTCCTGGCTGTATTTGTGTGTGGCTGCGGAACGTGGTCACTGCCAAATGGAAGATCAGGCATCAACTGCTTTTTCGACCACGACCTCAGCTAGAAATGCCTGGAATTGATAAAGGCCAAGTGAAAGTGAAACTCATCCGTCGGCTTCATTCCTGGCTGTATTTGCATGTGACTGTGGAATGCGGTCCGGTGATGGTCACAAAATCATCCTTGCTGTCTTCTGCAGCGAATCATTCCCGATTGTTCTGGTCAAACTCTTTGTGTTCTAACGGGGAGGAAGGCTTTCGCTGAAAAAGTGGATATGGCCCTACATTGGTCTAGACAAATAGCATTGCAACATTAACGGTGTCGAATGGTTACGAGAACTCCACAAATCACGGAAGCAACACAAATGCCACATTCATTCCCCAGCAGTGAGCCCGGCGACTACATGAGCTACGACCACACAGGTGATTAAATGAAACAAAGAGGGGTGCCCGAAAACTAGTGATTCAAACATGCTGGTTGTTTTAGGTAGATTCAGCGGTATTTACCCAAGTGTCGTGTGGAATTCTTCAATTGACCTTTTTAGTACTCTAGTTGTGACGTAATTAAGTTGATTATCAGAAGGCAACAATCACTAAAAAATGCCTGTCTTAATAGAATGTGATGAGGTGATCACAAATCAGGGATACATAGTGCGTTCAAAATGCAAGCAAGATCTGGCGAGTGGGTCATACCCAGTTTGTGTGTGCTGTGGACAAGGATGGTGGACTTGACGCTCCCGCATAGAAACCTCACAACACAGGAGGAGAAAGTTAGCACGCTAAAGCAGAGATTAGTGTTGCCAACCGTCTGACCATCCATTGAAACCCGGAAAATTCGGATTTGCTGAACGATTTTCTTCAAATTCGGAGAGCCAATCATTGGAGGCCGTTCTCGGAGATAGGCATTCACTAAGACAAGAAAACGATGGACTATAAGGCAAACACATCCATTTGGGAAGTTGATGTAGCGCTGGCTCATTTTAACTTTGTCGCTGCAGTCAATCAACATACTGATGATGTGAACGGTAGTACAAGGTAGCTGTCAAATCTTGGGTAGCGTGATCGGTGCGTGCTTCCAGTGGACCAAGTAGGCAAGGAGGAAACTGCTGCTTCAGGGGAAGGAGTCTTTTAGCCCAGTTTATGGTGGATCTATCAATTCAACTTGGAACATCTAACAGACCTTTGAAAATTAGATGATGTACTGCGGACTTGAGTGTAAGAAGGCTCGGGTCCTTTTGAACTTTGTACTATTTTTTTAATGAATATTAACACATGATGACTGCCCTGTTTGTTTAGCGTTGATCCGCTGCCAAACATGAAATCCCTCGGTGCGCTGTTATGACGTTTCTCTCTTCTCCACCGTTTTTTAACCAACTGGAAGAAAAATGTCAACCGTATCGTGGTTTGATTTGAAATTACAACGCGGCGTACAAATTTCTGGGCCTCCTGCGAAATGACATTGTCACACGTGTCTATCCGTACATCCGGATCAGCAAATTTGGGACGCATGCAATGCGTATGCACAATTCAAGTCGACACATGTGGACCTGATCACCTGCGCGTGGACAAGGACTGTCTAATTTTTGTTTCTGGCCACAAAGACGGGAGGGAAAGCTTAAAACATAGTACGAAATATAAGGTAAGTACTAAGTGTAAAGTCACATACAGCACAGTGCTATACCCTGACGGTCGCTGGCCGTTTTCGGCACCCAATAGAAAAAGAGATTAGTTGAAAAATTAACTTTTCAAGCACCTAAATTCAACGTGATGGTGAAGCCTAATGAAGACGCCCAACAGGTTATCTTGAATGTGGAAAATCGTGATGGAGGTTGCCCCGTTACGGTGAAGTATCTGCAAGCTGTGAAGATGAGAACGTCACAAATCGATAAGGTTTCTCGATGAATGCACTGAGATACTGCACGTCAACATTCCATTAACATTGCGTCTAAACGACTGTGTTAAATAGTGCATCAGTGATATCCTGATTTCTAATTGAATTGATCAAATGCTGGCGTAAAACTCTTGTAGTTCTGCGGTATATTCGTCATTTCGGTGTTCTATTTAGAGTTAGTGAACTGCAAAGACGCATCTGATGTTGACGCTCACGTTGATAACCGTAATCTCATCAAGGATACTACAAGGTCCAAGGATGGGTATTCGCGGAGAAGTTGGAGTTTACAACACAGCTTGCCACTCCATAGACGACGCTTGGTTAAATGATGGATTGAAAAAGGTACCAGATCGGAAACAAGTTTTTCTAAAAACTTATTCCAAAAGTTGGGAGTAAGAACACGTATTTGCTATGAGAACGCGGTCATACATTGCTCATTAAGTTCGGGTTGTAGGTTTCCGAGACTGTGAGCACGAGCATCAATTGTGAGTAGTTAAACGTATTTCATGATCTCACATAATTGCCAATGGAATTGTCCGGAAATCTCAAGCATGAACAGGAACATGATTGGGTTTACGCTTTCTTTTGCAACCAAAAAAAAGAAAATATTCCACCGATTGTCATATTCAGTGTGTATTTATCCTTCTGTAGGTCAAATTCGATCAATCCGGTGTTGGTTAATCCGTCGTGGCGTTTGCATCTTTGTTGTGGATAGATTCTACATGTTCCTCAAGCGCATCCCGTCAAGGGTGCGTTTTCGCACATTGCTCGCAAATGTGTTGATCTTGCGTTTCGTGCTTCGTTTTCATATGGCGATCCAAGTTGGATTTTTGGGAGAACAGCACCTCACATTCCTGGCACTGTAGTTGGTTTCCATTCCGGTGAACGCACCGCCGGTGGCGACGCAGATTGCTCCAATTTGCAAAGCATTTTCCGCATTCGGAACATGGGTTCTCCTTTTCCTGTGATTATTGCGCCCGTTTGCTGGGTGGTCTGCGTCGCTTATGAAATTCCTCTTCATATGTTCCCCTAGATTTCGCTTATTCTTGAACGATATTTCGTACACACCGCAATAAAACTCGGAAGTTTTAGCGTGCACTACTGTGTGATGCCTCATGGCATCGGACACAAAAGAGAATGATTTGCTGCATGCTAAACACTTACAGGGTTCTTCGACGCCTGCTCGTTTCTTCGGATCTTCCGTTCTGATTTCCGACGGCCCTGCTGCTGCTTAAAATATAAAGAGATGAAGAAATCGATGTCACTTTCACTAGACTGTCTCTAAAAGCAACAGTGAAAATATCATTGGAATGGATCCTAGGAATATTCAATCGAGGCCTTACGTTGTAGATGCACTTCCTCAATGGGTGAGACTTGGCAAGCACTTCACTTCTATTTCAAAAGTGTTGGTAACTCTGAGGAGAGGGGATGTTACAAGTTGCGCAATGGTGCATTCCAGCAACCACCTGATTACTAACGAACTCGAAACCGTTCGATAGCGATCACCTATTCCATATTTTTATGCGGCTCACACTGAGGCAACACGTACTCCCACCCGTTCTTTTAATACGAAACGAGTTTGCTGTGGCCACATTTCCGATGGCAACGAGACTCACCACTCTTCAGCTGGAACGTACAAGTAATTCGAGTAAAACCTCCACCACTGCCGGCGTATTTACAATTTGTTCATAGCTAAATGGAGTCTGTAAACATGACTGTCGTCGTGCATGTAAAATGAAGACCGCGGGCGGAATGCAGCTAGTTTCCCCTGGACCGGATAACTTTGTTGTCGTTGCTCTGTTCACTGGTGTTACTTGTGAATTTCGGCCCCATATTATCTTTGTACCAGTCTGAGGATTTTTTTCCAGAGGGAAGCCAAGTTACTTTGTTCCTTCTCCTCAGCAATCTAATTAATTTGCCACCTCTATTCCTCACTGGGCAAGGCATTGGATCTTAAACTCTGTTGTCGAAAATTAATTCGACCGGAACAGTTTCGCACACAAAAGACGGCAAAACAGAATGCGCGAATGAAAAATTGATTCATGAAAATGTGGGCTTAAAAGTGGCACATCATTCAAATTCGAAAGTCTTCAATTTTGGCGACATAACTGCAGTAAAATTCTTCTCTCACAAGCACAACTAATCGACCTTTGCGTACGTGTTTCCTGTAAAAATTCTTCAAAACATGGTTGCCTAAAATTCTCGCTTACATTCCACTCTGGATTGCCTTCTGGGAGAGAAATTATCAAACCAATCCTCGTCAAAAGCCGACAATAAAGACCTGATAATAGACAAGATATATGCTGATTCAGTCACATGAATTTTAAACAAGTGCCGTGAGGACGTTTGGATAAGAACTTGTGTAAGCGGAGGAATAAGGAATACGTACATAACAATAAAATTCATCAAAGTTCTTTAGACGTGGGCTCTAAGCTCGCTGGCTACCGATTTCATGATTGGGTGAGACGTGTTTGTCCGACGCTCGTGCCAAACGTTTTATGTAGTGTGTCACATATAAAGCCACCTTGGCGTCCACGCTTCACAGAGTTGCAGAAATAAATCACGTTTCACCACATTAAAGTGTGGTATTCCCAGTGGCGCGTAGGATAACTGTTAAATGCAGTTCGAATTGAGCTTTATTGCGCCCATCGTTCAATGGTCACGCTGCTCATGAATAGCTCATGGCCGAATTACGGTTAATCGCGAACAGTTTCTACTTGAGCTATAAGCACAAGTTTGTAACTGCGTCCTGCAAGGCGGCGATTGAGTCACATTCAAGTCTGATGGCTACTTGTGGGTAGAGTTCTCCAGTACCCCCATAGTTGGGAATGAGGACGGCCTGGAAACAACTCAAATCACATTCAACGAAACGGCACAATCATTTGACAGAAAAAATATATAGTTACACCTCAACTGAAAAGCGATTTTCATAACAGTGACTCACATAAGGGGGCGTACTCCGAAAACAAGCTGCTCAGCTCGTAAACTGGAAAAGACAGAAAATAATTTCGAATGAATGGATCATGTTGAAGCTTTTGTTGGCATACGTGATACTGCAACTCAGTGCGGACTGCACTTTGAATCGACTGCAATTCATTAAGGGTTGTCTTTCTACAAACGGCCCTTGAGGTTGGGGTGTGGAGGTAAGATAGTCTATCTGACTTGATATCCCAGCTACATAAAATTCACGGGGAAATTTAGTGAGCCTACCGTGTGTGAAAATAACACTACGTGTTATGTTGTAAAGTCCCTCAAACATATAAAAATGGACAAAACTCACAATCATTCTTGGCCACCACAATATTAGATGTACACAACAGAGTCAAAAGTAGTTGAACAGTGCTCGTTCTCCCGTTAGTGCATTGTGATCTCGAAACTGCTGTCCTTTTTATAGGTATGATTGGGGTCTGTAATCTGAGTTTATTGATCACCGTTTTTCATATCACCGGGTCTAGGGGGATGAAGGGGACAGTGTGTTTGTTTTTGTCTAATGCGGTTCCCTCTCAATTAATTAGTAGGGGAAACAGTTAGGGAGACGTCGTTATACCCTGAAAAACAAATACAGACTTTGAGGAAAGGCACATTCCTCAACGGACAAATTACTAGTGGTTCGTATAGGATATGCTTGATGCCCGTGTCGAACCTCACACATGGTTCTTTAGGATGATAGGATGGAGCGAGATTCGACTGCTTTACGGCTATCGGCCGACTCAAGAGGCGGAAGGTATCGCCGTTCGGGGCATCGAGTACAATCGCGAAATCATCAGGCCCTTTCTGATAATCCGAAGGTACACTGAAGACAATGCAGAACAAGAATTGACCAGCTAGTCCCAAATGGTCCACCGGCATTAATGGATGGGTGACACCCAATACCTGGCGTGAGAATCAGTGCGTGGAGCAAGATTCCAATGTATGCGGAGATTGACATGAATACTTGGCTTCGAGAAGTAGAAGTACTAGAGGTATGCCTGTAAGAGTTTGAAATAAACCAGTAGTTCAACACGCCGGACTTTGTCATTATGAAAATGGCAGTTTAGAATTTGGAATGAATTACGAACGTGATGCAGGTGAACAGAAGTGACCAGTTCTGTATCGAAGTCATTTGGATAAAACCCGGGCTCAGAATAACGAGGGATTCCTTATTATATAGGTTGATCAAGCAACAATGGGTTACACCTTGTGGTTCTCTTGTTCGTCCCGATTGAACCAGTAAAAGAGATGCGTAGGACAGCCTGGGATGGAACAGTTAGAAACATGAGGTTTGGACCATGAGATTCGTAATGCCCAATAAAGAGGCATCAAAAACCCAACTGAATGGTTTGGGGAATCAGGGACTGCAGTCGATGGATTCTAGAACAGAATCTCCATTCAGAGTTGCTCACAAATCGTTCGGAATTTGTTCAATATAAATCGTTTATTTTGCGGGTATCTGTCCCGAGGTGGATATCAAATTGTACGTAAGTGGATCTCTTCGCTGTGTGGTAACACACGAACTTCGACAGCGTAACATCTGTACCATTCTTTTCCATCATACTTCATCAAACGAAGCATTCCTCATGGAGTGCGTCTCATGTGCCATCTGACACGATTCACGTGATGCATGTTTCGTTACCCAACGCACAATCGGGTTGCCGAAAGCCCATCGGTTTTCACAAATGTGGGTAAGGAAAGACCTAAGTTTTCTTGAAACCAGGTTGCACAATCAGAGAACAGTCCAATTCCTGGCGTTTCAGCACACAATTTCGAAG